GCGGTCTTGAATCGGCTGAGCGGCTGACCCAACCTCCCCAGGAGTCACGAATGGCACCCGCCGAGCACGGAAGCTAGCCGGGAGCCAGTATGTGCCAGGGTTGGGAATCGATCGACCAGTCGATTTGATCGATTCGATTATAAGATCGATTTCGATTTCGATCGTATAGATTGGAGGTCTCCAGTCGATCGATATCGATCGATCAGGACCTCTGGTCGGTCGATAACTTTTCGACTGGAGACTCAGTCGATCGATTTGATCGTCGACCACAAGGGGCTGAGGAAAAGGCAAGCACTGACCAATGAACAAGCGTACAGCCCGTGCCGTCAGGCACCTGAGGCCACCTGACTCTAAGATAGAGGTCAAAGCGGAAAGCCAGAAGGGATAAAACATAACGCCGTCGAGTGTCGTTTTGTTCAGAGCTCGAGGATCGTGTTTAGGAAGCTACAGCTTGCCAGATTAATTGACAAGTATCTGGAGGCCCGTTCCACTCCAGGCCGATTGTCACTTGGACGGGCCATAGAAGGCCATAGACGGGTTTGCCTCTGTGCGACTTAGAGACAATTTTCTTCTTCAAATGGCGTCGGTTGACGAAGAGATGGAGATGGCCTCATCTCCACCTCCCCCTTCAGAGCCATCAACGCTTTCAACTCCGACGCCAAGCAACACTACTGGTTTCCCGGATTATGAAGTTTGGACTCCAGCAAAGTTCGAGCGCTTCCCCGGCTTTACGGTATTCCATGATCCTTCACGCGAGCGCACCTGGTGGTGGCAGTTCGGTTTCAGGATGAAGGACACCAGGTCGCGGCCTCCCAGGATCATATGGGTCTGCGAAAGATGTTTCTTGCGCAACAAGCTCAAGACCACCAACTATGTCTTCATTGCTTCTACTGCTGGAGGGATAATCCGTCATTTGAAGAAGGAACACAACATCCTGGTTTGAACCCTCCCATAGCTTGATATAACTCAGCTAATTGTGGTTAGCCACCTCAAAAGCGACCAGCAGGTTCAATAGCGGGGGCAGATGGACATTCCGAAAGAAACGTCTTTGACATGCTTCGCGCAGATACGTCAAATCCTCGGGATCAAGCCCTGCTCGGCACTCTGCACAGCCTGTTCGATCCGAAGATGAACCAGGTGCTCCTCCTTGACTGGCTTACTTACCATAACCTTCCTTTCAACCTCGTGAACTCTGAGCGTTTCAGACGGCTGCTTCTGTACAACAATCCTTCCCTCCAAGAACGTCAGATACCAACCAGCAAGACACTTGTAAATCTGCTGGCGAGCGAGTACAGACGTGCTCTTGAGCCAGTAAACAAATTGCTTCAATCGGCGAGAAGCATGGTCCACTTTACTTTCGATGGGTGGACTTCGCGGCAAAACACATCTTTCTTGGGGATTAACGTCCGTTTCATCGACCGGGACTGGACGCAGTGGCGGATGCTTTTGGCCTTGCCCGCCCTCAGGGGACGCCATACTGGAGAAGCACTCGCAGATGAAGTGGCAGACACCATCTGCGGATTCGGGCTTCAAGAGAAGTACTAACCCATGGCACCAGCTCCTGGTGCTTGTTAATATACTGACAATTGTGGCCGTGTCCTTTAGGGTTGGGTATTATACTCTTGATAACGCTACAAACAACGATAGAGCTATGGATGCCCTTGCCTCAGAGTTTGGTTTCGACAAACAGGAGCGGCGAATTCGTTGCGCTCCCCATTTTCTGAACCTGACCGTCCGAGCTATGATGTACGGCAGCAAGAGTGAAAATTTCAAGGAGTTGGTGGATCACTGGGGCGATAAAGACTTCATGGACGAAGAAGACGAGCAATGCAAGTTGACTGACGCTGTCAACGAGCTGCAAGATGACGAAGACTTTGAAGAATTGGGCATTGAAGTGGACGAAGCTCTGGAGCTAACGACAAGCCCGGAAGCGGTTCGTGACGAATATCCGGACCCAGACGTTATCACGGCTGAGAAGATGAACAAGCATCGCAAGTTTGGGCCGTTCGGCAAGCTACACAATATCGGCGTTGCTTTCGGAACAAGCAGTCAGCTCCTGGAGACATTTCATGAAGCTCAACGGCAAATGGCCCCTCCTCAGCCTGTACTCACGTGGGTCCAAAATGTTGGTACTCGCTGGCAATCAGACGAGGCTATGGCATCGCGCGCTCTGTTGAAGCGGGCGGCCCTAAACAGGATGTTCTGGATTGTCGAGGACCGCTGGGTCAGCCGAGGCGGCAAAGAACAAGACAAACCACCCATCTTGAAAGAACAGCTCTCCCTTGACGAATGGAAGGTTGTCACTGCTCTTCAGAAGATCCTTCAGCCATTTAAGGTTGCTTCAAAGCAACTGCAAGGCGAGGGTGTCGCTGGAAAGCGATCAACTTCAGGCGGATTTGATGAGTACTTCCCCGTGATTGAGATGCTCCTTGATCATCTCGAGCTGGCAGTTCAAGGAGTCATAATCGAGGAAAATGAACACCAAGTTATGGAAGAGATACAGCTTTTCGATGGCATGGACCGAGAGTCTCGGAGGCTCCTCAAGATTTATATCAGGCTCGGATGGAAGAAATTGAACTGCTACTACGGCAAGTTAACCTCAACCGCTTACGCAGCAGCCGTTGTATTCCATCCCTGCAAGAAATGGCGAGCCCTTGAGCGGCTCTGGGATCAGCTCCCTTCCCGCCAGACCTCTGAATGGAAGAGGGCTTATCAGACGAGACTGAAGACCATCTGGGAGGAGAGGTACAAGGATGCGGCTCTTGGGCCCATGTCTGGTACTGCTTCGCCAGCTGGGAACAGTGGCCTGGATTACATTGAGCGGCGGCTGGCATTCAGCAGGTCAACTGCTTATACTGATCCCGAGCCTCAGTCTCAAACCAGACACGGCCGACAAACGAAGCAGCCAGCGGCCTTGCAGGAGCACGACGAGCTGGAGTAGTACCTATCGGAGCCGCCGATCGACAATATCTCATACAAATGTGACCCAATTTCTTGGTGGAGGGACGCAGGAGCAATTCGCTTTCCAAGACTGTCCTACATGGCTGTTGACTTTCTTACGATAGCCTCGTCGTCCGCAGAAACGGAACGGGATTTCAGTAGTTGTGGGAGGATGATCACGCCTTTAAGGTCACGCCTGCGGCGCCATATTGTGGCGATGGCTCAATGCCTCCGGTCCTGGAGCAAGGCTGGGATTTATCAGCCATCTCTTCCTCTTGGGCTCCTTGAAGGAGACAACTGGAGGCAAGTGCTTCATTTGATAGGCAAGGTGTCTTTGGACGGGGACGCGGAGAACTATAGCTGATCGATTTGATCGATTTGATCGTCGACCATTTCGATCATATGCCTTGATCGATCGATATCGATCGACCAGAAGGTCTGCTCGATCGATATCGATCGACTGGAGACTCTGCTCGATATAAATCGATCGATTAGATGTCCGTGATCGATCTATACGATCGATTTCCAAGCCTGGTATGTGCGTGCAAGGCCGTACACCGGAAGTCTTCAACGAGTTTCCTTCGTTCGAGCAGCTCTTCAAAATCTTCGGGGACACCGGGTACGATACTGTATTGGAGTGCCCATACCTTGGAGGTTACCATGTGACACCTTACAGCATGGTAGGCTATGCGTACACCGAATATGTCTGGAAGGTCGACGAGCAATGGCTGACATTATCGCACAATTACTTGATCCTCCGGGTCCCATAAATAAATAGAACAACCGGCTCTGCGAGATAAACAATCTTTTTCACCATCTTTACGTGCCACCATCTCAGATGATTCCCTTACTCTCATTTTCTACCTGTCGTTATGGAGCTTGTGGAAAGAATATGTTCGCATTCCTCCTCGTACCGCGGTGTCCGTTCGCGGAACCGACACCAACGGCGCCATAGCTAGGCTCATTAGAGCGAGGTTGCCCGCGACCATACAGGGCTCCAACCATCCGTACCTGATTGTAGCTATTGCTTTTCGCCGCTAACGCTGTTTGGCTGTCACTGCTTAGATAGGAGCGTTGGTGACGTTGCTTTCTGCGATTGTATCGACGAGCACCGGCAAACATCGCGGCACCGAACGCCATGCTGAGCCCGGCAGCACCTATGGCTATGCCAGCAGTTTTGGCCCTCTGCTTGGGAGACAAGTTGCTACTGTTGGACGCAAATGCATCGTTATCGGGATGACTGCCACATAGCGCTGTGGTACAATGAGTTCCAAGTCTCGTTTTGGTGCTTGCGTTGGTGCCGGGCGAGGGTAGACTATTCGTAGGCTGTGTGTCGGAACCACCGTCCTCACTGGTGGTGGTGGGCATGTGGGACGGTGTGGCAGATGCGTCCGATCCGTGTCGCGACGACGAGTTCGTGGTTCCAATCGTGTGTCGAGAAGCGAAGCTATCAGATGATGAGTGTGGCGCGTTCAACTGCATGGTGGAAGTCATTGATCGCGTAGAAGCATCCGAAGAGGAATGCGCTGGCCGCTGGCCGATGACGCTCGTACTTCCGTCGTACACGTAACTACCCGACCAGAGATAGTCTGTTGATGTGGTGGCAGTGGTGAGACTCTCCGGCTTGAGAGGTTTCACCACTGGCAACCCATAGTAGAAAGTTGACGGTGTCATCGTGGTTGGCGTGACGTGTAGCGGTGCTAGACTCGCAGAATTCGTGTACGGCTGGCCGGAGCCCCCACCTGATGTCTGCGACGAGGAACTGTTGATGGTCACAGTCTCATCCGCGAGATTGGTGGTGGTCATTCCTGAGTCTTTTGCTGGGCGCGTACGCGTAGTTACGGTGTCCGAAGGGTAAGTGGTGTCCGTCGTTGTGGCCGAAAGCGCAGCACTTTCACTAACAGGCCTTGGACCACTCCCTTCCGCTGAACTGACGGGAGGCGCCGTGGCCGACGGTTGTTTGGAGACTTTCCGTTCTGTTGAAGTTGTCGCTGTCCTAAATGTGGAATGATCGGATTCCGAGTGCGGATTGGTTGAGGGAACATCGGAAATCGAACTGCTTGGCGTAGTAACACCGCTGGAAATTGGCGTTTTGCTGGCGTCGTCTTTCGTTGTGAGCACAGGGGTGACGATACTATGTGGCGGAGTGACAGTGGTTCTAAAACCAAGGTGACTGGTTGTTCTTGTTGTGTCTGTGGTTGCGGGGGTTGTGAAGTCTGATGTCGACGGCTGGTATCCAGAGGGCTTCTGCATGGTAGATTCTGAGACAGGCGTTGTTGCTAGGCTTGTGAGGTATGCAGTCGATCGCTCGTATCTAGAGGTCTGCTGCCTGGTTGTTTTTGAGACAGGCGTCTTTGAGTAACCACTACGCGAGGACCGGACGGTAATTGTATACGAATGGTGGCTGGTGGAGATTGAACTGGGATACGTGGGGCTCGGGGTCCCGACTGCCGTTGTTGATTCCCCAGGTCTCGGGGACCACGTCTCTCTAGTACTTATGGAGACAGAAGCATGGCTAGAGATCGTGACTGTTCCTTTGGTTGTGTGGATGCTCGTTGGTTGTCTGCTCGTTGGTTGTCTGCTCGCTGGTTGTCTGCTCGTTGGTTGTCTGCTCGTTATTTGCAGGCTTGTTCCGAGCGTGTCCGTTGTATGTGTGCCGGTTATTCGTCCGTTCGTCGTCTTCCTGTCCGTCGTCTGCCGGTCCGCTGTTGACGTACTCCCAGTGCGGGGTTTGGTTGACCATGTGCTCCTCACAACTGTTGAATTCGTGTAGTGTCGACTAGCTTGTGGGTGCACATATCGTTCAGTCTGTTCAGCTCTTAGGATGTATTGACTCGCGGACGTTGTGAGCGCCACAACGACGCCCAACAATGTCAAGGCACGCATATTTAGTCCTGCGACGCAGATCAGCACTACCACATGATCCTTGGCAATACGCCTCGCCAGACCGTCAGTCGTTTCATACCTACTGCTTCGGTATTAACTTTCGCCTGGGCTGTGCATACAGTACTGTACCTAGCGTAGAAATCACTGCAGTGATCCGGCCAAGGCCGTGACTGCGGTGGCCGGGACGCCTCGCCGGTGTTCACGCATTGGATATGAACTTCGGCCTCTTGTGCCTGGACTGGGCATCTACCCCTCGCGTTTCTCGTGCGTGGCTCGCTCCTCCGACTACGTCGCTAAGGATCTGATGCGCCGCCACTTCTGGCCATGGGCTTCAACCGTCTCACCGGACTTTCGGAGCCTTCCTTAGCATCGACCCCCAGAATATCTGCTCCTACTCCGACAGCATTTCCTCACCACACCATTTCCCTCACCACACCATTTCCTCACCACACCATTTCCTCACCACACCATTTCCTCACCACACCATT